AAGCGAAGCGAAGCGAAGCGAAGCAAAGCAAAGCAAAGCAAAGCAAAGCAAAGCAAAGCAAAGCAAAGCAAAGCAAAGCAAAGCAAAGCAAAGCAAAGCAAAGCAAAGCAAAGCAAAGCAAGCAACAAACAAAAACACAACAAACAACAACAAATAAAACAACCAAGAATTTTTTGTAGGAGTCAATACGAAAAGCCTAAGTGATCGTGATACCGGCACGGGTGAACATCGAGTTCATGGCGAACTCGGACACACAAACGTAAAACCCTGACACCGCGAGCAAGTAGCGAATCTTCAGCACATCCAGCGGGTGCGCCTGGGCTCCGGGAACCCAAGCAAGTCAAGGACGGGGCTTCCCCTGCGAGAAGAAACAGGACAACATAGGACCTCCAGAAGTCCAGAAGCCCAGAAGCAGAATCATGCTGGGCCCCCGGAGGGTGCAAAACAGTTGAGGTTACTAACTCAAGACGCCGGTTGGTCCAAATGCTGTCTGAGCAGCGCAAACGGTTCCGGGCACTGAGCCCAAAGCACCGATGGCCCCGGCCTGTCAAGGACAAGACGAAACTTGCGGGACATCCTTCGGATTCGTAATGCTACTCCGAAACACGATGCATGTGCTGAGTCCCTGCATGTCTCCGAAAGCCACGACTTCTTGCCGCTTCAGCCTTAAACCAGCCGCAGCTTCTGTGAGGGAATCCCACCTTTATCAACCTGTCTACAACTTCATCAATTTTCAAGTTCAAAAGGCAGGCTGCCTTGAGCGAGGCTCGAGCATCGATATGATCCATGGCGCAGCCTAGAGGCTCTCCTTTGTCAGCTACAGCTTCCTGTGGCTGCAGGTGGTTGTGTGCGTGTGCGGTTGACTAGCAGCCCCCGCATGTATACAGACCACTCAGAGTGGAAGGTGCCTCTCATGACTCTGAGTTGTCACTGTGCTAGTGCAGGGGTTGGCAGTAAGAGCTTTCTGCAACACAGCATGCCAACCGAATTTGCAGATGAGTTGCTATCCCCGTCTTATGACCTGCACAAATTATGAGCCAGAAGCGGCCCAGGTTGTTGGCGCACCAAGAGTGCAGCTATATCCGGCGAGACCGTGTGCACGACCTTTCCGACATGCCAGAAGTTCCAACACCCGACACCCTGTCTGTCCGGACCACCGGCTTTGACGTTACAGTCAAGACTTCGCCTGACGGCCTTGTGGAAGCTGACATTGGCAAAGTGCATGAAACTCCCTCCCACATCTTTTTCATGTCAAGCAGATGACTGCATCGAGGGAGCATGAAGGTTTCCCCCACTACCGGGGGCAAGGCTTGAGGGCCTTCTGCAACCTATCTGCACTTGGGAAGTCGGGATCTCAGACCCTTCGACCCGTCAGAGCCTGCCCCGAGTTCAACCATTGCTCTCGGTCCGTCGCTAGCATACAGAGCTCGCCACAACGAATGGAGTAGTTAAGGTGAGGTCGTGCATTAATCTGCCTGCGGATCGCTTCGGGACGTCTAGAGCTGCCCCAAATCACACCGCCTCGCCGTGAACATGGGCTGGCTTCTCCGCTCTTCCATGGCATTGTCGGGCTGTTGTTATGGCTTGGGGCCCAGTTGTCAGAAATCGCTGACATCAGACTGCCCGTCGTCGTCGTCTTGCGCCACCTAAGTCAAGCGATCCCATACTGCCGGCAATGTCAGCAAACCCGCACAGGCCATAGACACCGTAATGAGGGAAGCGGCCATGGACCGTCTCAGTCGCAAAGCGGCCTGCGCACAGACAAGCTGGCATCCTAAACTTACGCAGCCCGCAGCCCCCAGAAAGCCGAAAGAACTCAGATGTAAGCTCGCAGCGACAACCGTTTTTGCTGCAGCCGCTACCTTGGCCTTGCGCGGATTCATGCATCAGACCCGAGAAACTGCGCCACTGGGTAAATAAGTCAAAAGAAGGCAAATTTCCACACGAACCAGAAACCTGCAAGTATCCTTGCACCACAGTTTAAGGGCGATCCACGAACTGCATGCAACCGAAGACAGCTGCTAGCGGCGACCAGCAGCATGGTGGATCTTCATCTTCGGTTCAGGCACCGAGCTCATCATGGACACGATCGTAGACTTCCATGTAAGCTAGTCGAAGGCCCTTTCAATAAGCAGCGCCAAATCACGTGCCTTTGGAGGCGGTGGCGGCGGCCGTGACGCCTTTTAGACCCAAGTTCGAGAGCTAGGACAGGATCTAGCGAAGAATCTTTCACCTGTGATCGTGCCAGCATCCTCGATGACGTGGTTCAAGGGGGTCTTGCTCCATGCAAGAACTCTTGCAGGACGGACTGGACACCAGGAAACCAGGCACTCAACCACATCGTCCCTATAATATACCCATATACCCCATAATTACGTATTCAACCGTCATGCTGCTTGGGTTCAGGCTTTCGGCTCCGCGTCCTCACCGGGAGGCTGGCCGAAAAGGGCCTGAATTAAGCAGACGTGGAGCGGAAGTTTTTATGCCCTGTTCTGAGCAAGAAGCAGCTTTGGGGGCCGCTGCGGCAGCGGGCGCCACCTGTGATGAGGTCTTCACTTGTTCAGGCTGCCTTAGCATTTCTGTTGAGGTCGAGATGCTTTTCCGAAACGGAAAGCAGACCGCTCGCACGGATTGCAAGGACGTTCTCACAACGGTTAGAAAAGGTCGTATATGTAAACAAGAAAGAGCAGTGCAATCATAATCAGCATGCATGGCGAAGTTGCAGGTGCAAGGGCCCAACTGCTAAACCTCGAGCATCGAATGTGGGAGGCCTCGGGTCCCTCGGGAAGTTCTGCCGTGAAGAGGCCCTCAGCTGCAGCACAGAACAACTCCGCAAGAAGCGATCGGCTACAGCTGTGACACTGGGGCATCTGCTGCTTTTGCCTTCGGGGCTGCCGCGGGCTGGGCGTTCACCTGGTCTACGTGCTCCGGGGCTTCTCCCCCTGACGAATACGAACACTCCCTGTTTCAGAATACAGTAATCTCAAGCCTTCTTTGATTGGCACCCGGTGTCGCAGGAGAATGCGTGCTTGTCGCAGTCAACAGCACCCAGGCGGAGTCAACACAAATAGCCGGAACCGTAGAGATAGCATATGCAGCACGCCCGAGGCAAGTTGATGCAACCCAAGTGTCCAGCCAAGATGCCATGTTAAGCAACTAGAACCAAGACGGTTTTGAATTGAGAGGCAGTTTGGCCAGCCTTACGGTCACAAACTTGTCTTCATAATCCTGTTTCAGAAAAGGGCACTGGTGCAACTGAGTCTTCTCTGTCGCAGGACCTACCAACTCACGACCGGCCTGGACCTGGACGTGCCCCACAAAATTGCAATTTCGTGCAAGTGTCACCAAATAATGTTGTAAGCCCTGGAACTCAAGTACCGGCGAATCAATGAAGCCTTGGGCACAGGTGCATGTGCTGGAGATGCAGTCGCTGCGGACTCCTCCCAGGAGCACATGCCACCACACTCTGTCAGGCAAAAGTCGACTGGGCACCCGAACCCGGAAGCGTTCAACTCTTGTGCAAGATGCCTACCCACTTCCCTCGGAGCTGCCTTGGCTGGCTCGGCTTTCGCTGCCTGGCCGAAGGCGCAAGCTATCTTCCAGAACGTTATCGACAGTGCGCACCCCCAAACCTTAACGAACCCGGTAATCCCGAGTACCCAGAAATTAGAATTCTGAATCCCCAATGCCCAAACAGGCTCCCCACGAAGGCCTGCGTGGCCTCTGCAGCCTTGCAGCGCACAACATACAGAGCACGATGACGGCAACAGTAGCAGTGCCCAAATAGGGATCTACGATTACGAACCCCCATGACAAGAAGACTGAGATGCTTGTCTGCGCCAAGGTCACCAAGGCATCGAGTCGAAAGCTTACAAACACTGACCCAAGAAAGCACTAAGAGGACATCTGATCAAACCCCAACTGACGAAGAACTGACCAACACAAAGAATGGCACAATGTCCATCCTTTTGCTGCCCAATACCGTCGTTTCTACTACGGCGAATCTCCGTACTACAACCACCGCTACAACTACCACTGCCAGCAACGGTGCAGGAGTACTAGTCAAGTACTCGGTGTATTTACACCACTGCGCCGCCACCACTACATCTGCTGTTGCTGCTGTTCCTCCTCCTACTCCTACTCCTACTCCTGCTCCTGCACCTCCTACTACTGCTACTATCGCCACTACTTTCACCATCAGCGACACCACCACGACGAGAAGACGACGACTACTACTGCTACTGCTATTGCTACGGATATTGCTACTGCCACTGCTACTGTACTTTTGCTAACCACTACTCCTACAACTACTGCTCCTGCTGCTGCTTCTTACTCCCACTCCTGCTCCTACTCCTACTGCTATTCCTGCTACATCTCCGTCTACGTCTACTTCTACTCCCGACAGCCATCACGGTTGCCTGTCCTTGCTGCTGCCTTTCAGGACACGAGTGATCCCAGAGCATGACCTTTTTGAAAGCCCATAGCAGAACACAAAACAAAAGTCTTATCGCCCCCTGAAGTCCCGATGCCCTGGAGGGCCGGGCCTCTTTGGCCTGCAGAGTGCGGGTCATCCGCCGCTGCGCTGCGGCCGCGGCCTGGAGTCCACCACCCGAAAAGCACGGATCTAGGCCATCTAAACTCCTCCTCCTCTGACAGTCCAAGCTGGGACCCGGTCAGCAGCTGCCAGGCCTAGGTGCACTGCAACAGGCCCGGAAGCAACTGCTTATTGGTTTAGCCGGACCCCGAGCCACGTCTAGGCTCGATGAAGACAACCAGAGAAAGGTGGGTCGCCTTTGTAAGTTTCAGCTCACGGGCAGTTTCTGAAGTCCTGGCACCGTCGTTCCAGCCACAATCACGTGGGGCTTTGGAGTCTTGAGGCTGTGTTGGTGTAGTCTCAGGACATGGCTTTCATGCGGGAGTAAAGACAAAACATAAGTCAGTCAGAATAAACTTCAGTGAAGTTACTGAGCAATTGGGCCACTGAGCTATGTAACTTCTCAGTCAGCTTCCTGTTTGCCGACTGACTTCACGAATGGTTTTATTGAGTAAATCAGTCGGTGTTAGGTTGATGTGCAAAGAAGCGCAAGCGAGGGCTTGAATATACACTCTGACGCCTATCAAGCACGCCGATGCCCTCTAAACCCCTCAACCCCGAAAACTGGGCTCATGGCTCGGGGCACCAGCCGGTGCTGGAGCACTCGCTGGTGGTAGCTCCTGGCAAGCCGAGCCCCTGCATTTTGCACGTCTGTCTTTTCGTGAAATCTCAATAAAAGCACAATCTGCTCGTCGATTCGGGGTGGTCGAGCACTGGGCCTCCACTACCGCCGGCACCACTGCCGGCTCCTCAGCTGCTGCCTGGACTGCTGGCTCCTGGCAAAGACCACACGAACCGCCATGACTCACTGGTTGATTCCCACTCCGCCCGGGCGAGGAACAAATGCAACAAACTCAAAAAAACACCACATGACCAGACACCGATTGCACCCAGTATCCATCTCAAAGCTGTTTTCATGCGTCATATTATCACCACCACACTGCTTCCAGAATCAAGCGTCGGAGAAGCCAAAAGCCGTTGTGTGCCTCCACTTGCTTCTCCACTGGTTGCGGGCTCGGCTTTGGCTTTGCCTGCAACTATGCAGTCTTGGGTGAGGGTTAGCAGCTTGGCAGTGCTTCTCTCACGAACCATGGCTTGCTCCAACGAGAACCCCGGGGGCCTCAGCACGCTGCACAGGCACCGGGGGTGGACCGAGGCCTGGAGAGCTGTGCTTCCGCGAGCTTGTGCTTCAAA